TCCTTCCTTGCTTGCTGAATACTTTGTAACAGGGGAGAGAGGAAAACAAAGTATTTACATTAAAAATGCATACATAAATCAGTTAAGTTTTCATGACTGACTCTGAGTTATCCTCATGTTTCATTTGCAATCTCAGCATTAAATTAACAGGTTTATGATAACATTTCACTAAGATAAATGATCAGACGAGCCTTCTTCGTATATGTATGCATGCTGTTTTGTTGGTATATTAGTATATTTTTCTATTCCATAGTCTAATTTTCTGTATGCCTTTAAACATGTTTAATCCTGTTTCAGCAACCTTTTTCATTTTCAGAAACTTTTGCTGACCGAATTCCCGGAATAAACATCGACCTATATGCATTTACACATAATCGGCGTCAGCGGCCGTCTCTTTCACAGCGGCGTCACTTGACATGATAGCAACAGAGGCTTGACTCGCTGGCAAAATATTTTCCTTTTTCGATCATGTTTCCTGTTTTTGGCATCGATTCCATGGTGTAATATGATTCCGACTCCGTTTTCTAGATAAAAAGATCCATGAAAGCCGAATTGCGCACTTGCGATATTGAATGCAATCATGGACGACAAACGCAATGTCAGAATCTGTTGTTCTAAGGTTTGTTTCATATATTTTGCATGTTAAGAGATTCGTCGCCTAATGCATGATTGGCATCCCAATCTCTGACAATCGGAGGGAATTCTATTCTCCGTGACTTGAGCTTGAGAATAAGTGTAATATCGCCTCTTTGTTTAAATGTATAAAAGAAGAAAAATAAATAAGAAGATTTATAAAAAACACATCTCATGGAATACAGGCAGAAGTAGGGACGGTATGAGTGTTGCGGTGAAGCCATTGTTTTCACACTGACCGCGTAATATTGGCCGGGGAATATTTGTTTCATATATTGCCCGGATCAAAACACACCAGTCGTGGAAATATATCAGAGGATTATTGCTGACGCGACGACATTCTCCCAGATCGTAGAGGTTATAACAGTGCCAACCCACCTTCAGATTGGACGTGGCACAAGAAGCAAGGGTAGGCAAAGGCCAGTTCGAGTCCACACTGAGGATCAGCTGTTTCGCAATCGAGGTGCCGGTCGGGTCTCTCGGCCCATTCGATATTCACATGTTTTTGCGTTGTAGTATTTCATTGACACTGTTTGGGGAATATTGAAGGTGTAAGTGTTGATATTGGTAGTTTGAATGAAGGACGCGAAATAACGCCAGCGTAACACTGGAGGCAGAATATTGACAGTGAAAGTCACTGGCAATTATTTTTGTCGCCATAAGCTGGCAGGTATGTTAGCATATCGAACACATGAAACAGAGGCTTTTGACACATTGTCCTACAAAGGAATGCGCTTTCTGGCATGGAAATGAAATCCACAGTTAAAATAGAAGTAATAAAACCAAACAAAAATAAAAAGACATTTTACATCCCAAGATACCTACACATAACCCATATTTTTTCATTAGTTGTTCTTTCATTTATATTCAGTCGACATTCAGTGCAACAGGACTTCTACTTGATCATTTGATATTAATGAAAAAGACAAAACTAAAGACAAATAGTTCTAATAAAAAAGGGAGGAAGTTACATTTTAGTTTTGACAGTATTAAAAGGAATATGTAATGAGTCAGTGAGTCACACTGATGAAACGCTGGGACTTTCAAAAAAGGAATGAGATAATAATGCAATGATGACAATAGTAATAATGATCATAGTAATGATAACACTAATGCGTATCATAATGACAAATATAATGATGATGACTATTATAATGACAGTGTTAATAGTAATAATAACCATAATAATAATAATGATAATAACTACAATAATGATAATAATAGTGATATTAGTACTACTACTACTAATAGTAATAATGATAACAACAAGAATGATAAAATAATGATAATGATAACAATGATAATGATAATGATAATAATAATAATAATGATGATGATGATGATGATGATGATGATAATAATGATAATGATAATAATAACGGTAATAATGAAAATAACAACGATGATAATTATGATGACAACAGTACAAATGATAGTAATAATGATGATAGTAATAGTAATAATAATGATAATGATGACAACCTTAACAAAAATAATGGTGATGACACTAATAATGATGATAATAGTAATGATAATGATGATTAAGATGATGATGAAGATGAAGATGAAGATGAAGATGAAGATGAAGATGAAGATGAAGATGAAGATGAAGATGAAAATGAGGGTGAGGATGAAGATGAAGATGAAGATGAAGATGAAAACTATCACCGTCCACATCACTATCTCCGAAATTACTGAACGACTACTGAAATGCGCTACCTAGTCGTATATTAAACTGTTTTTTTTTCCCTTCCTTTTGGTTACGACTTGGATTATATTCAACGAAAATAAAAATCTATTTCAAAGACAATATTCTGACAGAAGCCCGCGCACCCCGGTCCCTGCCATGCGCTCCCAGGCCTAGTTT